GAGTCGAAGGTAGGGCACTTCACCCACATCAAATCTTCACTGCCAGGCAAACACGAATTCCATGGGGTCTCTGGTCATCCAGTAGAATGAGCTTCCGCCAGCCGATGCTGCTTTGACGCAGACACAAGCTCCGAGACCAAAGATGGAGAGCAAAGAGATGAATGGAGTCACTCCAAACCCCCCGCACCCACTGCCACGAGGCCCGCTTGTCCAAAGCTGCCTGCGTTGGTGCAGAGAAAGGTCCATCCACAGCCAAACGCGGGAGTCTGCCACTCAGGCAGCGCTTGGCCAGTTCCTGCATCAAATCGCCGATACCCGCCACTAAAAAGTGGTGCTATCCTCGCTGTCTGAAGTGATGGCTTCTTTCTGAAGCCCTGCGAAGCGTCTTGCGGCATTTTAGTTGTCAAGCTAAAATGGATTGTGACGCGCTGCAGATCCATTTCAAAATCCGCACTCCGCCAGGAACACGGTTTTCCAGAAGCCAGGGATACGATCTATCATAAGCTGTCATGATGCATCATATTGAAAAACATTTCGTGACCTTCACAGAATTGCAATCGTGTTTGTGATTTTTTGTTCAGCATCACGGCATCGCACAAGATGATGAACCGAATGTTTTTTTTCGTGCAACATCACAACATCAGAACACGACCGAAATGGATTCTTTTGTTCAACACTCTGGCATCATGGCATGAAAAAAAAATTCATGAAAACTTTTGCGCAGCGTCACAACATCACAGCAAACGTTATGAATCTTCATTGCAGCGGAAAAATGACAAACCGTACATCATTGCATGATCACGGCACGTGGATTCAACTTGGCATCCACATGAATGGCTGTTTTTTTGTGACGTCGCAGCATTGCAGCGCATCGGAGATACGGAACTTTCATGCAGCTTTACTGCATCATCACGGTACATGATCTGCATGTTTTTCATTTGCAAAACGATTTGATTGTCATTTTCATGTGACGATGCTATAGCGTTTGGATTTATGACATTTATGTGTTGCAACGCGTGTCGGAATTCGATTTGTTCATATATCGATCATGTGGACGTCAAGCACTCGGTTTGTCATGCGCATGTGCTGCAATGCAATGATATTGAATGAAAAGCGTTCGATTTCTCATTTTCATGTCCAGTGATAATGCGTGATGGTTGTTATTTTTTTATGCTGCGATGCAATGATTTGACCAAAGCATCCGATTCATGACTGTCATCCGCCGTGGTAAAAATGCATTGCTGCAGTTTGTTTTGGCAAAATTGCGCAGTTTGTGGGTGGGCTGCAAGAAGCATCAGCAAAGTTGTGCAAGGAACCTCTAGGAATGAAAGGTTACTGGTCTGCAGTTCAGTAATGCGTCTTGAAAGCTTGCAGCGGGTACACTGCTAAGGTCTCATGTCTCCTTTCGTGCGGCTCACCGAATCGAATGTCAGCCTCTTGTCAGAAGATTATGCCCAGTTCACACGAACTCTTCCCCTGTGCTTTCATTCCATAACGTTCAACATGTTCAGTTGAGTTCTCTGAAAAGCCCTTACCCCTGCTTTTTGCCGGCAGTGCACAGTTGAAGTTCCGCAGCTGCCGCACAGGTGCCGGTGCCGCCTCGTGAGAGCCGCCTGGGGCTGGACGCTGCCTCCGAGGCACCGGCAGCGCGTGTTTCAGCAGTGTTTGGCTGCCGTCTGCTGCTCTTACGCTCATGGAGTCAAAGTCCGCCAGGTTTCTGGCCGGGCCGTAGCTGGGCTGGAAGCTCCGGTTGGCGTTCGTGGGCGCGCGAAAGGCGCCGGCCTGCTGCAGCCGCGCCTGACGTCCCTCTGTAAGCGCCTTGTTGTGCTGGAACTTCTCCTTGGAGCACTCTAAACTGGATGGCGGGCTGGGCCTCTACGTCCTTGGGCGCGGCGTGCACGGGCCTCGTGCGGGCGCGCGTTGTAGGCTTCCGTGGCGTCGGCGACGTGATCCCCCACTTGCCGCCCCGACGGGCCACCTCGCCTGCAAGGTCCTTCTTGAGGGTCTGAATGGTTCGGTCCACCACGGCGGTGGCGTTCCTGTCCTCAGGGCGTTTCTGCCGGTGCACGACGCCCTGAGGCAGGTTCGCCTCCAGAGTGCGGAACTCGTTTCCCTCGTCGGTGGTAACCACGTAGTTGTTCTCGTCCTGGACGAGGTCGGGGATCGCATCCGCGGCAGCGCGCGCCACCGTCTCCGCATTCTTGTTGGGCAGCGCCCTGGTGACCGCCTCCCTGGTGAACACATCGGTTACCACGAGGCCGTACTTTTTGGCGCTCCGCGTGTTCTGCGAGAAGTCGATCAGATCCGCCTGCAGGCGGTCGTTGGGCCCCTCGGCTGCGCTTTTACCAAGGCTCCGGGGCTTCGGGGCCAGCACCTGCCTTGCCACATCCCCCCTCAAGGCGTCCCTTGCGCGGTTCACCGTGACGGCTGGCTGGTCGGGGAACTCGCGCTTTGCGATCTGGTACAGCTTCCGGGCGTCCCTCACATTGAAGTCGCTGGCCAGCCGCCGCAGCAGGTTCAGCGCCGCCTCCTCAGCCATGCCTGGCCTTGGTCTTTGCCTTAAGCCTCGGCCTCTCCAGCGCCTCCACCCGCGCCTGGAGCCGCTTGCAGACGCCCCACAGCACGGCGGTGAGCCGCGCGTAGTCTAGCGTCATCAGGTTCCGGTCCTCGCGCCGCGCGGTGCCTGTCACGCCGGCGCCCTCGAAATCCTGGGCAACAAAGCCCAGCCGGCTCTTATGCGGGACATCGGTGCGATCGTAGCACTTGGGCACCGCTTTGTCGAAAATGGCCTGAGCTGCAGGTCGGCCTCCCTGATGTTCTCCTTCAGCCTCGCGTCGCTCAGGGCGTTCAGCCCGTAGTTGTAGGTGAGGTCGCCGTCCGTCTCCACGACCACCGGCGCGGCGCCGCTGGCCTGGTTCTGCAGCGAGATTTGCTGCCGGCGCGGTCAGGCTGCAGCCGCCGGCGCCGTCCACCTCCAGCCGCGCGAAGCCCGTGGAGTTGTTGGCGTCCAGCTGCAGGCGCGCCACGCCGCTGCTCGCCGTGTTCTTTAGCACCGCGCCTGCGACGCTTGAAGGGGCCGACTTGGTCACGCTGAGGATCCTGGTGAGGCACTGCGTCTCGTCGGCCTCGATCTTCAGGAGGTCGTTGTTGGAGCCGTCCATCACTCTGGTGCCGGTGGTCCCGCCCACCAGGCTCAGGTAGATCTGCCCGGCGTCGGTCGCCAGCACCGGCGTGGTGACC